TGCGTGCGGCCCCCAGCTCAGCCCCATTAGGGAGGTGACCCAGCCGGAGAATTGACAAAAAAAGGGGCGAGCTTGGTGGCACCGGGGTTTAGCGCTGAGCCAACTTGCCCTGCAGCTGCCTGCTAGCTAGCTGTTGCAGGGCGCTGCACTACAGCAGACGCTCCCGTGAGCTGAAGCCCTGGTGTCTGGGGGGCGGTCCGGCCACCCTTTTAGGTCAGCTCGGCAGCCTAAAGACCTGCGGCCGAAGTCTTGGACGCTGCCGAAAGAGCAGGACCTGCCCCCTCCCCACAGCTCTCCCGTGTGAGCTGGGCTGGGGAACTGATCTGGCCCTAGACTGATCCTACAAAAAACCCAAACAAACAGAAAGGAAAAAAAAGCCTGTGTTTGCCTAAGCACTGATGTTGTGGGGAGGGGGCAGGAGTGCCCCTTTTGCCTGGTTTGAGGGTGAGCTTGGATCAGCTAAACAACTGTGAAACTTTCCTTCCTCTGTCTCCATCAGCATGTTTATGTTGTTCGTAGGGAGGCGAAGGTCCTAAACGGTGTTGGGTAACACAAAAGCTCTTTAAGCCGGGAAGGCAAGTGGACAACACTGCTCGCTGGTTAAGCCCTGGCTATTCCTCCAGACACATGAAGCACTCTGCCCGGGTGCTGGCCTCCTAGACGTCTCCCCCAGGCTAGGGAACTTGTCTCAACTTCCCCTGGCCCGGCATTGCTCTCCCTAGCCCCTCTCGTTAGCGGGTATCGCTGGCAGCCTCAGAAAGGGCTTTCTGGAACAGTCTGCCGAGGCTTGCCACGTCCCAACAGCAGCGATGAAGTGGCTAACGTCGGGTCTTGGTCAGGTATGAGACTGGTTTTTCTGCTTAATCGTCGTTTTGGAGGCAGGTGCCGTACAACTGGAATGCGAGGTGTTGGGGTTTCCCGAGCGTGGAAAGCCAAAATTATCCCTGACTCAGTCTGAATTCAAAGGTATGAAATGACACCACTGCTTGTTTTGTTGTTTGTTTTTTTCCCATCTGAAAAATGGGGCTAAGACTTCCTGCCTTGCAGGAAGAATTAGTAAGTGTTACTGCTCCAGAAACACTTATTACTGCTCCAGAAACACTTATTGCGAGGGATAATTGCTCTCACTCCCTGCGGAGCCTGTCCTTAGCAGAAGAGCGAAGCCACATCCCGCTCTGCCCTCCTTGCGCTAGCTGTCCGCCGCGGTCGCGCGGGGCAGAGCGAACCAAGGCTGCCTTTCCAGTCCTAGGCCGCGTCGGCAGAGCTGGCGGCGCGATGGTTAGTTTGGCCACGGGCGCAGCGGGTGACTGGAGACTCCCCGAGAAGACCCTCCCTGCGCTCCGGGAGGCAGAGGCCTGCGGAGGGGTGGTTGGCGTCCTTGCTCGCACCGAGACATCCAGGCCGTGCCCTCTGCGTAGAGCTGGAGGGCGGTCTCTGCGGGGGCTGCTGGCCCAGGGGAAGTTTTGCTGGGAGCAGAATCGCCTCTGAATTTTAGTTAAATCGGCTGAGTGGTTTCGACTGGGGAGATGAGGAAAAGTTTGGGAAAATCCAAACTATCCATTTGATTCTCTCAGTGCACAACACCTTAATGTTATATGTGTGAAAGAGGTGGGTTTGTTTTGAAATTGTTTGGGGATTTTTGAATTTGGGATAGGGATGAAATGTTGCCTTCCCAACCAGAAACACTCCACAACGTCTCTGTTCCACCGACCAAGCTGAGAAGATGAGCAGCTTGGCTGCTCGAGAGCCCTGTTCACCCTGTGTGCCTTCTGCACGGAAGTTAGGGTGCTTCTGCATAAGGGTCTCGGCCTTGACCTTTTCACTGTGTTATCCATTTGTTTCAGCTTTTGGCGGATTCTTTGGCGTTTGCGCAGAAATTCACGGTTTCCCCCTTAAAGTTTGTGCTACAGAGGAACAATTTGGGTTGTTAGGATCTGGTTTTGGAGAGAAGCAGACTGTGGTGGGTGGAGGAGTCCTTTTAATTCTTGTACGCTCACTGCAGGGGTGCCTGTGTTGTGAATGCTTATTTCATTCAGCTGAATCACTTGCGCAGTCACACCTTGTCTAAAGAAGGCTCGGGGATGCCTGAAGCCAGAAAATGTCTCGCTACGCGATCCGAGCCAGTGCGGGTTTGATCCTCGCCCTCCAGGCTGCCGTGGCTCGGCTCTGATTACAAACACTGTCGCTGGAGAGCCGGTGGTGACTGGCATCGCACGTCATGAGATAAGCCGCCGCGTTCCTCGCTGAAAGAGTCCTCCCCAGCCGTGAAATGACAGCCTCTCTGTTTGGGCTGCTGCTGGTGGTGGTTTTTTTTTTTTCCCCCCCTCCACGTAGTTCCGATGCCATCAGCTCATCTGCTGCGTCTACAGTTTGAACGGTCTGGAGCTGCCTCAGCCCCGTGTGCGGGAATTTTTATGTTTTTATCCCCTAGACCGCGGAACTGTGGTCTGGAATCGGGTAAGTCTTTTCATCGAGGAGCGAGCAGGACCCAGAGGGCTGGCTGAGCTATCAGTGCTGTACCTGGAGATCCGGCTCCTCCCTCCCAGATAAGGCAGAGGGCCGTGGAGCTGTGCTGGCTCCTGGGGAAGTGCTCTGCAGCGACCGGAGTCCTCTGCCCAAGGGCACCTCTCTCGCCACCACCTTGGCAGAAAGCAGCTCCTACTGCTCAAGGGCTGAGGCAGGGCCCTGCAGGGTCCGAGACCTATATTTAAGTGGGTCTACTCCGTGACCGTAACGATCTGCATAAAAATTCTGTTTAATATCCTCTTGGCGTTATTTCAGACACTTACTGGGTATGTCGGCTTTTGTGATAGGGCGCTTAGTTGTCTAGCTATGCTCGTGGTATTCAAGCGCCAGGAGAAGCCCAGGTAAAGCACTTGGTGAAATCTGTTTGGGAATGAAGGTGATGGGATGTAGCGTCCTCTCTCTGGCTGCTGGGGGTTTCCTGGTTGAAGTTTGCCAGCGCATCTGTAACGGCCTTCCTGAAGCGAGAGTTCTCCATTCAGCTCTCCAAAGCAGCTGTGAGAGAACTGGATTTCTTTTGTCTTCAGCTTTTCAGTGCGAACGTTCGACATTTGTAAATGTTACAGGCAAGATAGCGCCTGCAATGCCAGGCTCCAGAGTGCGGAAAGGGGCTGCTGTTTGCTTTTCCAATAACCGAGGACATTTATCACTTTATTTTTTTTTCCTACTTTCTTAGCTATGTAGAGATTAAAATTTCTTTGTTTTCTGATGAATTTGAAAAACCTATGCTTGACCTGTCATGTGACTTCCCCCCCCCCCCCCCCAAACCCCAAAGATCCAAGATTTTGCACTGAAAAAGAGGTGCTTCTGAGGTGGCTTTTACCTCTGGTTAGGTCTATGTCAAGCATTGTCAGAACTTTCACACGAGTTGATCGGTGCTTTTTAGTAGTTATAGTTTCTCTCGATAGAGGTAAACTTGGTATCCAGAGTTCCGCTCGTTTTGCTCGTGAAGACGTGTTTCTGCGTGAGGTGGCTGCTCCCGGGTTTTTGAATCGCGTGCCCTTTTTCTTGTACGTGGGCTCCTTTCCAGAAGACAGCTTCGCTCTCCCTGCAGCCTGCACGTCCTCTGTAGCACCGCCAGTCCCCACGCGGATCTCAGGGTGCTCTCTTGCCTGTGTGGAGATGTAAGTGTAGCTGGGAAAAGAGCGATAACGCCGGCGTAACGTTTCTGCCTCCTGCCTAAAGTCGGTTGCCGCATCGGTTGGGTTGGAAGCACGTGGCATGTGCTCGCAGTGGAACTGCACTTGAAGTGGGTCTCTAGCGAGCATTTTCTGTGTCGCTGTTGACAGACGGGGAGAGTTTCTGTAGGCAGCTCCAGTTCTGCCCGAGTCCTGCTTGGGAAAGGGCCCCAAACTTGTAGCATTGGAGTGCAGCGGTTACCCAGGTCTTCAGAGCAACCCGTTTCCACGCTTACCGCAAGTACATCAGCTTCTGGAAATCGTCCCAGACCTGGGAGGTGCAGATGAGATGCACTCACCAGTGCTCTGGTGAGGGTCAAGCATTTGGTAAAGGTACTACTTTGCTTCGCTAGCGTTTGGGACAAGTACCTGGTGTGGTTATGCGTTAGTTTAGGAAAGTTAAATAGGTGATTTCCAAGTGAGGTGTAGATGAATTATACAACAGAGCTTGCGCCGAACCCTGGAGGGACCTGCCTGTGAGATGTGCTGCCTGATGGCCGTGGCTGAAGTCCCCTTCCACCGGGGCTGGCGTGTTTGTTTTCCCCTTCCTCCAGAGCTTTTCTTAATGTGCTGGTTACAACAGACCTTCCAAGTGGTCGCAAAGTAATCGGTCAAGCAGTCCTTGCACTGTAAACTGTGGCACCTCCCAGCTGCTGCTTCTTGCTGCTCTCCCCCCCACTCCGCCTTCTGGTGATCTCTTTGTTTAAGCCTTTCTCACCCCCCCGTCGCCCCCCATGATGAGTTGTGATAGTGCTGTTATTGTCTGCTATTAGATGACAAAATGCTCAAGAACACAGATATTGCACTGGGAGTGGAGGAGGAGCAATATCCTTACATGCCAACAGTATGTCTCTGTTGACTCTCCGCTTTCCCAAACAAAAGATCTTTAAAATGTCTGTTACTTAGCACTGTAAATGAATTGCTGATCGTAATCGCGCTGTAGACGAGGAGTAGACTGAAGACTCCCCAGCGCTAGTGAGTACCAAGTCAAAACCTCACACGGTGGCCTTACCTGTTGCTCAGCCGTTCTGGACGGCACTCGGCTTTCTCTGCCGTGGCGGATGCACTGGGCATGTTCCCTGAAGGACGCCGTCCTAAAAGCAAGGGAGGGGAAGGGAGGCACGCAGTGGGCTCACTGTTGTGTCTCGGGATGCAGTTTCAGCGAGGTGGGGGTTTGTCTCGCTCACGCATCTCTGGCCTCGCCTGCAGGCCGTGTTCGTGCCGAGGGGATGCAGCAGCGCTGCCAGCCCTGCTACCTGGGGAAGCAGGAGGGCCCTGCTCGGCCCCTGCTGTGCCAGGGCACGTCTGAGTGACGGGGTTGAGCGTCCAGCACAGCGCCTGGATGCTTGCTTCGTGCTGGGGGGACAGTGACAATGGCTTCGCTGAGCAGACATCTCATGCGCTTCAGTGAACGGTGGCTGAAGGAGCTAGCGTTAATACTTCCTTGTGTGAGTTTCTAGGTATTTTTTCCCTGTCAGACAGGAGAGCAGGCATCTGGTGTTTTCTGGGGCTTTGTCCCAGTCCTCCCCCCTGCCCACCTCTGGGCAGACAGGCAGTCTGTCTGGGATCGCTTCTCTCCCCTCCTGAATTGGGGACGTAACATGCCCTGTGCCTGTGCCCGCGCTGGGAGCTGGATGGAAGGGCTGGGTACCGGCTGGATGGTGCTGTTGCCCTTGCCACAGCGGGGAGGACGGTCGTGCACTCATCTCTCATCTCCTAAAATTGCAGGCTTCTTCCCATTCCCACACCACGCTCTGTGATGTGGTAACATCGATCTTGAGGCCACTCTTGCTGTGCCTCAGGGACAGCAGGACTTGCTGCATCCCCAAAGGGCAGGTTTCCTTACAAAGATGCATAGGAAATGGTCAGCAGGGAGTGAGTCACATCCCACGCTCGTGCTTGTACGCAGATTGAGCGGGGACTGCACCGGTCGCTGCAGGGACTGGCCCTTTTATTCTTGAGTGCTGCTGTGTAAAGCTTTCAGGTCTGTGCCTGGGAGAGTACCCCCGGCACGGATCATGCGCTCGCAGGTAATAAATCTCTGTGCTGACAGTACACTGAAGAAACTTATAAGGTGTTAGTGTGTATCTGAGGCTGGAAGCTCTGGCGCAGTTTCAGCTCAGCTTTAACACAGTTCATGAATCCATATTTTGAGCCCATAATACGTTCATGTTGTTACAGCGGTTATAAAAGCTATCATGTCAGCTGGACAAGGGTCAAGCTGCAGCCCTTTGAGGCAGACGGTGTCCAGCTTTTAGAAGAATAAACCCATATTCCTTCCCAAAATGGGATCCAAGGTTTCTCTTTAATCGCTGACTGGCAGCTCTCTTTCTAGACTTTGCCCTTGCAAAGGGAAAGCAAAGTTATCTTAGGCTGCCGAAAGACGGTAAGCTCAGCCCTCCGGCCGCTGGGCCTGGCTTTTCAAACGTAGGCAGGACTCTGCACATGGACGGCTCGAAGGGTTGTGTTGTTTCGAGTAACTGCAGAGTTTGTAGCGCCTAAAATTAACAATGTTGGTTTAGGGGACAGGCTCTGTGCATCGCTGTGGATGCTTCGTGTTGCGGCTGTGGTCAAAGCGTACTGTGGCTTCAGTGTACAGCCCTTTCTGTACCTCGTCGCACACGGGGGACAGTGGCTGGGGTCAAGCAATGGCAAACTAAAGCCCGGTGAGCCTTCCTGCAGCGGATGGCGGGCTTGCAGAATTCGGTGCTGCAAAGGAACCAGCTGGAGCTAGAAACTTTATGGCGTTTGGAGAAGCTATGGGTGAGAAGGGTATCCAGAATTAAATAGTTAATGCTACGGATGTCGTAGAAATCACCTTGCTTAGGGTGACAGATCCACTGGGGAGGATAATCCCATGCCTTTCACCACAGTAGCCTTACGCTTTCTTGGGAAGCAACTATGGAGAGCAGGAGTCCGGGTTGGATCCACCCCTGTGGAGTCAGGGCTTACTACAAAGCTGGGGTACCCGGCTTCGTTGGGAGGAACCTGGGGAAGCAAGGCATGCAAGGAGAGCTGAAATTTTACACAAGCCTTGGGATTTGGGTGGGGTTTCCCTTAAACCATATGAAACCTCCACAGGAACTTCACCCCGACATAAATGGGGTTTTCTGAAGGAATCGGCGTAAAAATACGTTTTCTTTCAGCCCAGTACGTCTCTAAACCATGAGTTCCGTCCAGGCCTTCTGCGTGGCCCGTGCTGCAGTGCCCATGGAGACGTGTTTGCGGGTGTCCAGGAGTGACACGGGGCATAGTGAGATTAATCTCCTTGCTCCCTTTGCACTGCCTCAATCAGCGGGATTAGCGACGTAAATTCCTCATTGGACCTTTCTGTATTTATAAAGAAAACAAACCTTACGCTGTGTTTCCTCTCTCGAGCTGGGGTTGTCTTGGGGCAGGAGCCTTTCTGCTTTATTTGGAGCTTTCGAGTCCCTTACCTCAGAAAAGTCAAAGGAAGCCGGGCGTCTTGTTGCAGGGGAATGTTGCACTTCCATGTGAATGCGTTCCTGGGAAGCACAGGACGCAGTTCATCCCTGGAAGGTAATTTCTGTGGTACTGGAAGCTGCTGCCTGTTTAGGGGACAGCCAGAGATTCCCACCGTTCCGATGTGCTTCCGTGCCTTCCGGCTCCAGTGGTGGGCTCTCAGGCCAGGCCTTGGGTGCTTCTCCTAGAGGCACGGTCCGTCCCTTGGCAGCTGGCTGCAGCGGGTGTCCTCCAGGCAGGATCCCTCCAGCTGGCCTTTCTAGCGTCGCCCGTGACTCTGAGCAAAATGGGAGCTGGAAACAAAACAAAATGCTGGAAAGTACGCTGTGCCTGGCTGGTTAAAAACATGGTGGTACTTTGATCGTGGCTGGTCATTAGAGCTGCCCCAGGGATGTTTCCCTGCGGTGGTGGGATCAGAAGGAAGTGCTGAACAGCCTCTCTTCTCCAGATGTAACCAGTGTTCAGAAAAGTCTGGACTCTGATGCCTTGCCAGGCTTTCAGGCCCTGGCTCAGGCAGACCTTGCGGTGGTCTGGTTCATCGCCTCCTGACGTCTCTCTGCAGGTGTCGGTACCTGGCAGTCCAGCTGTCCCCAGCCATCCCTGTGTTTGCAGCAGTTCTCTTCCTATTTGCCATGGCCACGCTCCTGCGGACGAGCTTCAGTGATCCTGGGGTGATCCCGAGAGCCCTGCCTGATGAGGCAGCCTTCATCGAGATGGAGATTGGTGAGTGTGGAGCCAGCTGAGCTGGTGACGGCTGGAAAAGCCTCTGTTATTCTGGCGTATCTGTAGGCTACATTCTCTGCAGAGCCCTTCTCCCTGGCTGGTCCTCCAAAAGTGAGGATTGCCCCAAATGGGGCATCTTACCAGCTGCTGGCTAATTCTGCTTGGCTGAGTCTCAAAAACATGGTGCGATGTACCTGCTTCCCTTTCTGGGAACCTTTTCACACGCTGTTTTCTCTCTTGTAGCTGTGTACATACAAACTCAGTTTGCTTTTGGGAAGGGGTGCAGGAAGCTTGGTGTGGGCCCCTTGACCCTTCAGGTAGAGAGGAAGTTTGGTGGACGCGGGTCTGTACAGCGACACTCCCACACACACACACCCACCCGCCCCCTGTCAATAAGTCCATGAAAGCTCTGGCATCCCTTTTCCTGCCTCCAAGCTGCCAGGTTGGCTCTGGACCCTGCGAACAGAGCTGCAGCCGCTGGCTCTAGACCCAGCAGGCTCTGATCCCACTGGTAGGAAAAGCAGGGAGGCGAGTTGTCATTCTAGGCCTGTCGTGTTGTAGCAGCGGGTCTGAACTCCGCTTGGTTCTCTCTCTCAGAGGCCACCAACGGGACCGTGCCGCAGGGTCAGCGCCCACCCCCGCGGATTAAAAACTTCCAGATCAACAACCAGATAGTGAAGCTGAAGTATTGCTACACATGTAAGATCTTCCGCCCGCCCCGTGCCTCTCACTGCAGCATCTGCGACAACTGTGTGGGTAAGTAGAAGAGGCCGTGCCTGCTCCTGCACCTGGGTGTTAGGTGAGAGCCTTTGGAAGAGAACAGGTGAAGGTCTGCACCCGGTCTCGCTCCGTATCAGGTCTCACACTGCGCCTGCTGCACAAGTCCAGAGAACAGACGGGGACAGTCTGCCTCATCTTAAGCTCAAGGAGCTTGAGATTTGCTCAGAACCTGAAGCCAGGTGGTTCACCTTTGCCAGTACTTCTTCGGCAATATCTAGTCTAACATAAGTCTAACTCGTCCATGTAAATGTGCAGTCCATTTTTGAGTTTCACTGAACTGCTGGCCTTGGCTGGGCTAGAGGGTTCCAGTGGAGAGCTGCGTCTTGTGTGAAAGCAGCTCCTTGCATCAGCACAGAGATTCTGCCGTTACGTTGAGTGCCCCTGTTTTTTGTTCGCCTTGCTGCGTAGCAGATGCTCTCTTAGCCCTTTTGCGTATCATCATTGGCTCGTGTTCAGCATCCCTTCTCAAGGAAGAAATCCCATTCTTTTGGATCCCTCTCCTCCTCTGCGGGTTCCCAGCCCTTTGCGTGTCTATGCGGTCCCTTGGACCCTCCTCTAATTATTCTAGTAGGAGTAAAGCGACACGGGTTAGATAAGAACTTCTGAACCCCCAGACCTTCATCTAACCTGTGTGCTGCTTTCATAAAAGCTATTATACCTCAGGTCTCTGGGAGAGAAGACATGCATGGGGCCAAGCTCTTAAACTCTATCTTAATGTGCAGAATGACTCATTAGTAAGAGTTTTGCACTTTCTTACCTCACCTCCCTTCTGGAAGGGGGCCGTGATATGGGGCCCTGAGTTAGCAGAGGGCTGGACTCGATGGCCCAGGGAGTCCTTGTCAGCCGTGGAAATTCTTGAGTTCGGGGCACAGGAGTAAGCGTCTGGAGGCGTGCAGGACCGTGCTAGAGCAGCACTGATCTCCATCTTCGCTTTCACAGAGCGCTTCGACCATCACTGTCCCTGGGTGGGCAACTGCGTGGGGAAGAGGAACTACCGCTATTTCTACCTCTTCATCCTCTCGCTCTCACTCCTCACCATCTACATCTTCACCTTCAACATAGTCTACGTAGCACTGAGTGAGTCTGGCTATGGAGAGGTGGATGGCTGGGCTGGCTAAGGGTGAGGGGGGGATACAGACGGTGTTGCAAACCCAGAAGTGATGGAGTAGGAAAGGGAGCTGGACTCGGTGTTATGTTCCAGAGAAAAAATATTGCTCTCTTTGTATTGCCAGAATCTCTGAAGATTGGGTTTCTGAACACATTGAAGGAAACCCCAGGGACATATCCTTCCACAGTGCGGAGGGGTCGGCTTCTCCAAAGCTGGGGGTTAGTGTGAGCTGGAGTCTTGATGCCCAGGCTTCTCTAAGAGTCTTTCAGAGCGTCTTCCCCCATGATTACAAGGCGAGGAGCAATTCTGTGGCTTTTGGGAGGAGGGTAAAACAGAAAACCATGTCTAGAAGAGGAAGAGAAGTTAGGGTAGTGCGCCTGGGGGTAGTGGCACAGGTGGGGTGGGACTGTTCCCAGGCTGTTCCCAGTCCTTAACTGTTCTCACTGTACTGGAGGTGCTCATCTGTTTCTTCACCCTGTGGTCGGTGGTGGGGTTAACCGGGTTCCACACCTTTCTGGTGGCACTGAATCAGACAACCAACGAAGACGTAAGTAGAGTCTTTCTGTTCCTCTGAGCCATCTCCGTTTCCCATCGCTTCCTCGGTGTGTCATGGCTGCGTCCATCTTGCTGGCATGCCCTGCGGGCTGAGGCAGGGCTCCGTGGGCTGGGGGCAGGTGTCGGTGGAGCAGACCTGAGCTTGTGCCCTGACTGTTGCAGATTAAGGGGTCCTGGACTGGGAAGAACCGTGTGCAGAATCCCTACAGCCATGGCAACATAGTGAAGAACTGCTGTGAGGTGCTCTGTGGGCCTCTGCCCCCCAGGTAAGCTCTCGAGGGGCAGCCCTGCCATTTTTGCCTCCAGAGCCCAGTGCGGGACCCTGAGGAGCTCCCCTTGCTTGGGTACAAGACCTGGCCGCTCTTCTGCCGGCGCTCTGTGTGTTGAGGGCTTCTGGAGGTCACTTGGGGCACGGCTTGATGCTCTGGGGAGGAGGGTCTTGTGTTGCCTTCCTTGCATATCTTCAGTGATTCAAGCGTGTGATGTGCTCCCTATCACTGTGTGCTTGGGAAGCCAGCGGAGGAGTGGCTCCCCTTCCCTGGGGCAGCGTATGGAGCGGAGGCTCTTTCCAGGGTGCTCGTTTCGGTGGGCTCCCACCCTCTGAACTGGGCTGCTCTCCAAGGGGCTTGGTTTTCCCAGGAGGAACATAGACACTGTAAACTAGGTTTGGGCTGTGCACAGCCTGTTTTGGAGAGGAACCCCTTCCCCTGACGTTTGTCTTCCACGAGCACTTTCCCTGCCAGGAAAAGAAGTCTGCTTCAGGGGAGGCGTGGGTCTCTGACGGTGTGATTCTGTTCTTGCAGCGTCTTGGACAGACGGGGCATCTTGCAGCAAGAGGAGAGCACAGCTCAGGAGGAGTCGTGCCCACGGGGGCCCAGCGCTCAAGAGCCCACCGCTGCTCAGGGCCCCGACGGGCAGGCAGAGGAGAGCAGCGCTCAGCAGAAGGATGGCAGCCTTCCTCACCTGAGTGCCGTGAGTGATTCCCTCCGGGGGAGGGGTGAGTGGGCTGCGCCTGCTTGGAGTTGCTGGTGCTTTGGGCCAGCAGAGAGAAAGCTGGTAGTGTGACTTAGCTGGAACAAAGCAACACTTGGGGCTTTGCTGAGGGGCTGCCGATGAAAAGCCTGTTGTGCTCTGGCCCTGGAAACCAGCGTCTCTCTGGAGCTGGCTGGGAGGGTGCTGGGCTCCTCTGACTCCTAGGTAAACCTCAAAGGAAATCACAGCTGGCTGCGCTTCTGGAGGTGTCAGTCCTGCCATGAGAGCGCCCAGGAGCTGGCACCTCTGGAGGCTAGGAGGGGTTGAGGAGGGGTGGGAGATTGCACGCATCTTGTTTTGGCACTGAGTGCAAGCTGGAGGGCTGTCCCTGGGAAGGGCCCTGGCAGGTGTGGGATCTCTATCCTTGGAGAACGCCATTGCCCCACTGGACATGGCCCCGAGCAGCCTGCTCTGTCTTTGAAATTAGCCCCGGTTTGAGGATATGGTTGGACAGGAGACCTCCACAGTGCCCTTCCCACTTAAATTATTCTGTGAACATGGGAAATGGCTGGGCCGGCCTACTCCTGCTTGGCCATGAGCTGCCTGTTTCTCTGGTGGAAACAGTCCAGACCACTTCTGCTGGAGCAGTCCAGTGCTCCAGATCTTCATGGAGCTGCTGTTTTGCCTGTTTGGTGGCCCCTGTTTTCTCCTTTTCCCAAGCGCAGCTGAGTCCTCTGCCTGGCGGAGCTGGAGGCAGGATCAGGGCAGTGGGGCCACGTGTCTGTGTGCTCAAACAGATGCTCTGTATTGGGGTGTATTCATGCAAGTCACTGCTGTCTTCTCTCTACAGGTCCCTGCGCCATCCCTGAGCAACGCTGAGATGCCAGAGGAGAAGCAGCTAACGTCTGGGGAGCTCCCGGTCCCATCCCAGGACGCTGGGCAAGCAGAGCACTAGCCTCTGCTTGAAAGGGAGAACTTTCTTGTTTTGTCTAATCAAAGCTGGAAGTGATTGAGGAGAGGAGGAGATGGGCTGGATGGCAGGCAAACGATTCCTCATGGCCATTTTGCTTTAGTCATTATTCACCTCGATGCGCAGGCGGTGCGGGCTGGCGCTGGCCTTGCATGGTGTCAAAGGATAACGAGCGTGAGTGGCCCGCCTTGGTCACCGAGGGGCACTCACCGCCACTGAGGCTGGTCTTCCCTGCAGGCCGAGGCAGGACCTCTTGCTCTGCAGGTTGTCCTGGATGCTAAATGCCGGCTCGGTGGCCGGGGCTGTCCCTCCGTCTGGCCCCAACTCTCTGACGAGACGACTTGTGGTCAAGCAGCTCAGAAGCGACGTTAGGGTCGGCCTGCTCCCTACCGCTGAGGAATCCTGATGGGAAGGGGAAAGCAATTTATGGCAGTAGCGTCCTCTCTCCCCTCCTCCCTCCTTCCTCTAATCTGTGGCATTGTTTTATTGGTTAACGTGGCAGGGGTTGTCAGGAGACATTTTGGTGCCAAAAGGGCCGAAACAACCGGGAAGGTGTTCTGCTGGCAACGGTTTTTAAAGTAGCTTCCTTCCCGTGCTCCTTCTTTTCATGTGACTTAGCCGGCGCGAGAGCAGTCGTGGCGGGGGCCCTCCTTCCCGTCCTTCCCCGGGGCTCACGCCTAACTGGGGGCTCGAGGGAAGGAGTGGGGCAGCCCGTCTTCCTGCCGCTTGTCTCCGCCCCGCGCCGGCCGCAGAGCGGTTGTGCAAGGGGTGTATGAAGCTGCAGGGGAGGGTCTGCCCGTGTGCCACTGGCTCTCCAGCTAGTGCCGGGGCTGCCTTTGCTGCCGGGTGCCTGCGCCGAGCACAGGCGTGCCCTCCCCTTGCCCGCCAGGCTGTGGCACACTGCTCGGCCGCTGCTCTGCGGAACCTCAGCCCCGATCCTGTGTCGTGTCCCCATGTTTGTGCAAGGGGTGTATGAAGCTGCAGGGGAGGGTCTGCCCGTGTGCCACTGGCTCTCCAGCTAGTGCCGGGGCTGCCTTTGCTGCCGGGTGCCTGCGCCGAGCACAGGCGTGCCCTCCCCTTGCCCGCCAGGCTGTGGCACACTGCTCGGCCGCTGCTCTGCGGAACCTCAGCCCCGATCCTGTGTCGTGTCCCCATGTTTCCCCTGCCTTGCCCTGCATTTCTCAGCCGTTCTCGACTGGCTTTCGGAGCCTTGAATCTTCCCTGGGCTTTGCCGGCTGTCCTGGGACTGGCTGTGCGGTGTCGGCCATCTGCGCCTCCTTGGCAGAGGAGGGAGGAGAGGCCAGGGCCAGGTGGCGATGGGAGACCTCTGTGCCGCGGCAGGGCTCCTCTTCCACTTAATGCTCCCTGTCCTGCGCCTGGCAGCTGGGCTGGGAAGAGCCTCATGTCTGCGGGGTCCTTGCAAAGGCCGGTGATGGAGGGAAGGCCGTTTTGTGCTCTGGCAGCTCTCCATCCCGTACCACGAGTGCTGGGTAACTTCTGTGCCTCCCCGCAGACATGTGGTGAGTGGGTGGCAGGTGGAGGATGTCCTGCCAGGGCAGTCCTGCTTGTTTCTCTGCGATGCTCCTGCCTGGCAGCGTGAAGTTGCTGCTCCTCCTTCCTTGGCCTCATACGCCGTCCTGCTTTTGACAGTGGCGTGGAGCAGAGTGAAGTGGGGAGCCTCGTCCCTCCGGGCACCCTGATGTGTGCCTCCCAACTCGCTCCTCTTCCCTGGCCCCTCGCAGTGTTGACCTGGGCCGTGCCTGGCAGCGGGTGAAGTGGCATTAACGTGGCGACCGGCGCTGCCCCCTCCCCGGTAGTGCCAGGGTCTCCTCTCCCGGGGGAGAGGGCAAGACCTGCCACCCTGGGCTCCGGCAGCGGCTTCACGGTTGCCCCGCAGCTGCCTTCAGCTGCTCCCTGCTGGCGCTTACCGGGGAAGGAGCCCCGGCCGCCCACTGCC